TGAACCCAAGTGAATCCCACGCTCCACTTCCAGGTCACGTTTTGGTGAACATCGGTTTTCAGCTTCCTTTTCTAATCAAGTTTTATCTTTTCTTTTTTGACTCTAGCACTATGGGACTGAGTACCATTCTCTTTGCGTTGGCCCTCCTGATCTCTGGTAAGAAACTTTCAGCTTTGTTAAGTCCTGGAATACTTTCACTGTCTCCTGATGAATCTGACCACTGCAAGCCCAGGCCTGACTTGGTGGGTTTTACTCACTTTCTACTGAGCGTCGTACAAGACCACATGCAAAAAAGACTTTCCTGGAGAAGAAGGAAGTGTTATGATTGAAAGCAGTTGATGGCAGGCAGGCCCATCCTGGGATGGAGCCCTCCCCCGTGTGCTTCCTCCTCCTCCGCAGTCTCACATCAGTGAGCCTAGATTCTCAGAGTAGGGTAGTTTGGCCCATCCCATGGGGCTGGGGGAAGGCTGCTGCACTGAGGCCGCTGAGACTTGACTCTTCTGCTCCACACATATTCTCTTCTGGTCTTTTCTGACCCTGTTTCTAGCATTGTCAGGCTCCTAGGAAACAACTAATGGGATTCCAAAAGTCTCCCTTCACACGGAGCATTGGTTTTCATGTCCCTGCCTTCCCTACCCTCTCCCACGCCCTTCCCTACAGCCCATGCACTTAGATCATGGTTGCCAGTGCTTACTGACAACTACGGATTGTCAGCTAATTGCATCAGCTGATTTACAGTGGAGCTAATGAAGCTGAAGCTTCAGAGCCCCACATTTGTACAACCCTTTCTAAATCCCCCTCAAGACCCTCTGAAGGGCCCCCTAGCAGTGTGGTCACATGTCTTATGCTTTGGAAAAATTTGGATAAGTAAGATATTCTAACCACAATAGGTTACGACTGCTGTCTCCTTCCTCTGCGACTTTTCCCTCCATCCCATTCTCCTGCCGTCTGGTGGTGTTAGCAGTCAGGGGCATTTTGTATTTGAATTCTACATTCTTTTTCTTAACTATCCACCACCTCCCTTTAAAATTTTAATAGCATCCGGCCTCAGAAAACTCAGATCTTCCCTGTTTGCTGCTTCACTTTGAGTTTCAGTTTCTTCATCTGTAAACGGAGGTTGGCTGCGGTCCCTACCATGTGTCCTATGACTCAGTGTCTTGTAGTTATTCCTGGCCCACCCCTTCCTGCTGCTCCTTCTCTCCACCTGCAGGCCTGAGAGGGAAGCCACCCAGTCAGGGAGGTGAACTGAACCTGAAGTTTGGCTACAGCATCCACAGGCCACCAGTCACGAGTTCACCTCTTCCAAATGGCCACACACCAGGGCCTTGGCCACTGTCCCCATGTCTGCTGTGATTGATGAGGAGTCAGGGTACTACAAAGAGATACTCCCTCAGATCCATATTGGCTGGGATTGGCCTTTTGGGACTTCTGTTTTCTGCTGAGCACCTTGAGTTTGTGGAGTCCTAGAGTGTGAGGCCTGTAGATATGCCAGCTGATCACTGACTTAGGTAACATCAGCAGCTTCCAACCCCCAGGGCCCATGACCTGCCACCTTAGCTCCTGGGGAGGTGGGAGATATGTGTGTGTCAGAGAGCAAGGGAAGAAGACAAGACTCTGGAAAACAATCCAGCAAGATTCCCTTCCCACCCCACCCCTTATTTATTTATTTATTTATTTATTTATTATTTTTTTGAGACAGCATCTTTGTCACCCAAGCTGGAGTACAGTGTCACAATCACAGCTCACTGTGGCCTCGATTACCTGGATTCAAGCGATTCTCCCCAAGTGCTGGAATTATATGCATAAGCCATCGCACATGAATTATTTTATTTATTTCATAAATGCACATACAGTCATGAGTCATTTAGCAACAGGGGTATGTTCTGAGAAACACATTGTTAGGCAATTTTGTCATTGTGTGATCATCATAGAGTGTCTGTACACAAAACTAGATGGCGTAGCCTGCTCCGTACCTAGGCTGCATGGCACAGCCAGTTGCTCCTAGGCTACAAGCCTGCAGAGCATGTTACTGTGCTGAATGTCAAAGGCAGTTGTAACACAATGGTAAGTATTTGCATATCTGGACATATCTAAGCATAGAAAAGATACAGTAAAAATATGGTGTTATAATCTTATGGGACCACCACTGAATATGACTAAAATGTGGCTATGCAGTACATGACTGTATATATGTGTATATATATACATATACATATATATATGTATATATATATACATATATAGAGAGAGAGCCCTTACTGTATGCTTGGTACTGTTCTAAGTACCTCATGAATATTAACTCATTTAGGCCTCACAATAATTTTCTGCTTTAGGTCTTGTTATTATTTCCCATTTTAAGATGTGGACACTAAAGCCCAAAGAGGTTAAGCAATTTACCCAAGATCAACACAGCTCCTAAGTGGCAGAGCTTGGATTCACACTTAGCAGTGTAGATTTGGTATTTGTTCACTTGACTCCTCTCCTACTCTTGTGGTAAACGATGCATAAGTGGTAAGACTTCTTCCATGGGGCCTGAAAACTTTGGTGGGTAATATAGCTTCTGCCTCATCCAATGTTCTTCCAGCGCATCCTCCCCATCACCTACACCTAGCAGTGACACCTCAGTTGACCCAAAAGCTTAGGCCCAAGCCCTTCTCATCACAGTGACCAGACCACCTCTTATGATCTGGGAGAGAAAGAAGAAAAATGCCCTAGAAAAAAATTTCCAGAAAACACTAACCTGGAACACTGTTTCTCACCAAATTTTCTGACTCTTCACACTGAAAATGAGAAAGTAGAGCTGAGACACTCTATCAAAACTGAGATCAGGTGTCACTTTTGCCTGTGACTTGCCTCTGATACTTCTTAGAAACTTCTTAGCTCCTGAGAATAGAGTTATCAATATTGAAAGCAACAATCCCAAATGGTAACTGTTTAAGTTTTATTGTGGTGAGAAAATAAGTGACTATATTTTTAGCTGTACAAATTTAAAGTGGAATAGAAAGCCTATGACAGATTAGAAAACGACATTGCCAATAATTAACACATGGTGAAAAGCAACAGCAAATTAGATTCTATTCTTCTTTAAAGAAAGGAAAAAATCAGTTTGAATTCTATCCGCCTTTCTTCTCAGAGCACACCTCTATCTGCTTACTTGGCTGGTGAACAGTGACCTAGCCACAGGGCAGGCATCCAAAGGGAGACAGGAGCTACAATTGGCTCAGATAATCCACCCCCAAAATGTAGAGCTAAGTAATTCATTTGATGGCATAGAAATAGCAGTACAGTGAAATAATTCTAATTCACCTTTTCCTCCCTTATATTTTGTGTCCTCTGTCACAGGAATTTGACACAGTAATATTTACTACCCCTGCTCTTGAGGCTAAAATTGGATGAGAGTTTAAGCCTGAAATGGGCACCCGTGGTCTTGCAGAATTAGGTTACAATTTGTGCATTGTATTTATAAAGCGAAAGGAATTTCTAGTGCCACTTGCAGAGGCACCTCTAAGTGTCAAGCTCTGTTTGCCTCTGTCCTGGTACTTCCATCACACTTTTAGGCTGGAGTCAGAGAGGTTTTTGAAAAATCAGTAGCTCCCACATCAAGAGGAAGTGTCTTTCCACTTTGGCTTTTGGTAACTACTCTCTTTTTGTCTGAGGGTTCTCTGGGTCCTAAGCCTTCTCACTTCTCTTGAACAACACCTCTAGTTCTTCAGTTTAATTTTTTTTTTTTTCTTTTTTTGAGATGGAGTCTCACTCTGTAGCCTAGGCTGAAGTGCAATGGCACGATCTTGGCTCACTGCAACCTCCAACTCCCAGGTGCAAGCAATTCTCCTGCCTCAGCCTCCCAAGTAGCTGGGATTGCAGGTGCCCGCCACCAAGCCCAGCTAATTTTTGTACTTTTAGTAGAGACGGGGTTTCACCATGTTGGCCAGGCTGGTCTCAAACTCCTGATCTCAGGTGATCTGCCTGCTTTGGCCTTCCAAAGTGCTGGAATTATAGGCATGAGCCACCACACCCAGCCCACTTTAAGATTTATATAAGATTGACTCAAACCCTCATTCCTCATCCTGTGGAAAGCTCCACCATTTTCCCCAGATTTTTTTGCAGGTTTCTACATTTTTTGCAGGTTCCCATTTCCTGCTGTTATTGATAGTCCTTATTAAAACCACCACCTGGAGATGAAGAGACATCTAAGACCTCTCATTCCCAAAGAATTGTCATGGAGCCTAATAGTTCTGTTGGATTCACCCCTTTATGTTAAGCCATTTCAAGGTTTTTAAAAAATACATGTATGTTATCTAGTAGGGAGTATCTTACCCCCAAATTAGCTGATTGTTTTAGTAGGGCTTTCAGTGGGTTCCAGAGAAAATAAGCAATCAGACAAGTTGATTTATTGAAAGACAATCACTGACTAGGAAGTGTATGGGGTTGTTTGGGAGCAGCAGTAAAATTGGCAGGGAACAGAGGCTCCCAAGGCAAGCAGACTTTTTTTTTTTTTTTTTTTTTTTTTTTGGAAGGAGCAAGAGTTTGAGAGAATGTGGCTTATTTTTCCTTTGTGAGAAGGGAGTTTTAATACCATTTCCAAAATATGTAACCTGGTAACTTGGCCCCTGAAGTGCTGTTGAGGTTTATGGAAGCAAAAAACTCTGTCACCCAGGCTAGAGTGCAGTGGTCCCATCAAAGCTTACTGCCGCCTCTAATTCCCAGGCTCAAAAGCTGTTTCTGCCTCAGTCACCTGAATAGCTAGGACTATAAGTGCATGCCACCATGCCTGGCTAGCTTTTTTTTTTTTTTTTTTAGGAGATGGGGTCTAACTTCATTGCCCAGGCTGGTCCTTGGTCCTGAGCTCCTTTTAAGTGATTCTCTCATCTCAGCTTCTTAAAGTGCTGGGGTTATAGGTATGGCCTACCTATTTTTATGTTTTATATTTTTTGTACATTTTGATGTTATTTCAAATACTTTTTTAGTATCCTAAATATACTTAAAAACCCTTTTTTGAGTAAATTTATCTATAAATTATTAATTTTATGTTGATAGACATTGTTCTCTGTTATTACTAGTAATGTTAAAAATAAATAAATAAAGTAACTCAATTAATGCTTACCGCAGGCCAGTATTTGCCCCAATACTGACTCAAATATTCATTCTTTTAATCCTCACAATAAACCTATGATGTAGGTACCATTATTGTTCCTGTTTTTCACTAGAGGAAACTAAGACACAGGGGAGTGAAGTAATTTGCCCACAGTAACACAGGTAGTGAGTAGTTGAGCTGAGATTGTACTCTGCCTACCAGAATCCATACTCTTAGTTATAATGGTGGACTGCCCTATAGCCTTCTGTTTCACAGCCCCTGGCATTCCTTTATATGGATCTATCATTATTTGTTAAATCATTTAACTTATGTCCAGTGTATTGTTCTTATAAACAATGAATATCTGTATACCTCTAATTTTGTGCACATGTATCTTTTTTTAGAATGAATTGCTAATTCAGTGCTTAAGCCCATAATTAATTTTCTTACATATTACCAACTGTCCTCCAAAAAGGTTGTAAGGTTGTACTAATTTAGAATTTTACCAGCAGTACACGAGAGGACCCATTTCCCCAACACTCTCATGGCTACTGGGTATTACCAGTATTTTTTAATACGTGCTGATCAGATGGGCAAAAAGAATGATTTCTCATTAAGGTTTAAATTGCATTTCCCTAGTTATTCTTGAGATTTTCCCATTCATTTTTTCAACAATTACTTATTGAATGCTTTATATTTGTAAGGGACAATTGCAGGTACTGGAAATGTCACAGTGAGGAAAAGTGACAAAGCCCCTGCTGTCATGGAGTTTATTCTAATGGGAGATGTCAGGTCCTCAGCTGAGCTGGGAGAGAGAGAGCTGAGTTGTCAGGTGTCAGAGGAGACGACTATAGCAGCAGAACAGAAATGAAATGGTTCAACTTTTAATCTCTTACTGCAATGGTATAACCAAAAGGCTAAAATGGGAGGAAGGGCAGAGTTTCCCTGTTCCATTTCCCTCTATAGAATGATATATCAGTCGAGGGTCAGGTAAATCAGTGCAGACCTAGGAGATTGTCTCACTGCTGAGGAAGCCCAAAATGAAACGCTCTGGCAGTTTTATGGACCTGGGGATAGAGGGATCCAAGGGTGGGGAGAATTCATGGTGTAAAATGAGGTGAGAGGGCTAGGAGTGGAAACGTACAAGGTATTGAGTCAGAGTGGGGAACAGTGTCTTCAGGGCTAGCAGTGGAAAAGTACTAGGTACTGAGTCAGAGTGGGGAACAGTGTTCAAGGCTGGAGTGGAAAAATGCTGGGTATTGAGTCCGAGTGGGGAAAAGTGTCTTCTCTATGATGAGGAGGCTTCAGCGGAGGTGACTGAAGACCTCACCGCAGAGCCTCAGATAAAGGGATCTAAGAATGAGGGTGCCTGGGCTAAGATTGCAAGTATGTGAAAAGGCATAACTGGCAGGAGGCTGAGATCTTGATTGCAACCCCCTTCAGAGACTGCCATGTACTGACTGTGCACCAAGTCTGGTGTGGAAAGGGCAACTTCCTCAGTGAGGCTTGTCAAATCAAGCCTCTTTAATTGCCTGTGTTCAGGTCTGAAAAATGACACATACGATTTTAACCAGAAGCCAGACCTCGCAGGAGAGACAGACAATAACTAAACATACCACGTCATGTCATGTCATAATAAGTACCACAACAAAGAATAAGTCAGCATTAGGGACAGAGTGCCAAGGATGCTATCTTCAAGAGAATGGTCAGAGAAATCTCCCTGGGAGGTAGCACTTACAGAAAGACCTACATGAAGTGAAGGAGTAACTGTGAGACTGTCTGGAAGAATAACCTTCCAGACAGAGGGAACAACATGAGAAGAGGGCTGAGAAAGAGTGTGTGATCTTTTGGAGGAATGGCAAGGGAGACAGTGTGGCTGGGGTAGAGTGAGGGAAAGAGGTCTCATAGGTCCTGGAGACCCAGTTATGTGAGGTCTTGTGAGGCCAGCAGAAGGACTTTGGATGTAGTTCTCAGTGTGAGGGGAAGGGATCTGGATACAATTTTCAGTATGTTGGGAAGGCATTGGAGGCTTCTGAACAGGAGAATTGTGTGACTAGAGATGTATTTTTAAGTGATCATTTTGGCTTGAGGGACTAGACTTAGGGACAAGGACAAAGCAGGCAGATGAATTAGGAGCCGATTACATTAGTCTCCCCCACGCTTTTCCTAACATATTGGAGTTCAGCTCTGACTATAGTAGTTCTAGATCTCATCAGACACACTTGCGCAGAGCTTATCTTGGGTATTTTGGGTATATAGATGATTCGTCTTGGTTATACAGATGGTTTAGATGATTGCAGACAGAAGAGGGTTGTCTGGGAACCATTCCTAAACAGGGAAGCATTCCTTGACATAGAGAAGAGGAAGGCTGAAGGGGAGGAAGAGAGTACCTGTTGCTATCTAGAAGGAGGAATCCAGCAGGAAGTTGGATACAGGTATCTGAAACTCTAGTGAAAATTATTGGCAGGCAATAAGCACCTGGGAGTTAGTAGCTTATACTTGACAGTTGAATCCATGGGACTAGAGGAGAAAAACCAGGGAAAGTATGGAGACTAAGAAGACCAAAAACATGCACTCAAGATGACCAAAATTAAAAAGTGATCTGAGAAAAGTAATGAGGAAGTCAGAGATTGGGAAAGAATAGAACATTTCAATGAGGAGAGTTGCCACCACTGTTATATTTGACAGAGTGGTCAAATGAGATGAGGTCTGAAAAGAGCCCAAGCCTTGGCCATGTTGGGACATCACCAGTGACCTTTGTCAGTAGAGAGGTGGGGGTGGGAGGCTGGGACTGAAGGCTGCAATTGCTACTTACTCTTTCAGGGAGTTTGACTCCAAGGGAAAGAGAAACTAAAAGCAGTAGCAGAGGGCTTGTGTTTGAAGTAACTGTGGTGAACCAGGCGAACAGCCTGGAGGCCAAGTGAAGTGATACTGGACACTACAGATTTGTAATGTCTGCACAATTGAATAATTTCCCCCAGAAGTGCTCAATTGCTCAATTGTAACAACAGATATGTAGACCAAAAGTAGAGTTTCCCCAGGGTAAATTCTATAGAGACAAAGGGGTATGCTTATTGAAGTTATAACAAGGAATAATTACAAAAACACACTATTGTTGCATTGTCCGATATAATAAGCACTAGTGATATGTGACTATTTAAATTTCAATTAATTAAAATTAAATAAGATTTAAAAATTCAGTTTCTCAGTCATACTAGCTACGTATCAATTGCTCAGTAGCCACAGGGGCTGGTGGCTATCATATTATTCAGCACAGAGATAGAGCATTTTCATTATCACTAAAAGTTCTTGTGGCAAACACTGCAATATAGGGTCCACACTGGATACATCTGAGGTCTTGATGAAGTTGAACAACAGATGTAGGAGTAAGCAAGAGCAAAACCTGGATGAATAGGAGGTTGCAGACAGAGATGGGTATCTGGAGATTAAGATTCTAGGGACTGAGTTGCTCCAGGTGAAAAGGTTCAGGGTTATATCACAAGAGGGTAGGGGGCAGCTGCTGAAATAGTCTGTGGGGGAAGACCTGTGGAGTTGACAAAATCAAAGAAATCTGAGACAAGGTTGTTAGACTCATTCATGAAGAAGTCACCCAAATTGTTGGCAAGACCTTGCATCTAATGCCTAAATCCTCACTGAGCAGGGGGTTAGTGATTTAGTAACTAACAGCAGTGAAAGAGGCAGACACCTCAAAAGGGGAGGGTGTTCCTCAAAGTCCCCATGACATGTGATAAAACAAACAGTAGCTGGGAGGGGCAGGTGGCTTCTTTTGGGTAGAGCCAGATTTCACTGAAATAATAACCTCAGGGGAAACAGTCAATGAAGAGGTTAAAGATGTGGGAGAGTTTCCTTGTAATTAATGGAATGAGGCTTCCAGAGGGCCAAGTAAACTCTGGAGGAAGTTTAGTAAAAGAAGGAAAATTTTTGAGTACAGATAAGCATAGGAATATAAAGAAGAGATAATTCTTAAATATGTAAGATATGCATTTGGCAATAGTAGTCAGGGAAGACCGAAGTCCCAGTAGGGTCAGAGACTTCATAAGGTTAGCAAACTACGGTTTTTGAGTGGTATTTCAACAGTAGAGTATATTGTTCAGGAATTTCTTAATTATACTTTGAAACAAACTCCTTCAGCTGATTAGGAAGGTCTAGCTGGATTCTTGAGTGCCGTTTCCCTGACATCATAGAAATCCATTGTAACTAGACTTCAACCATTCCTCTTACTGAAGTGCTGGGGAAGGGAGAGATTCTCAATGCTTACCCACCTATGGAGTCCCAGTGAGTCCAGTTGCTATGCAGCTTGAGGTCTGGGGTCATAAAAGGGAAGGCCTGAAGCCAGTTGGTGAACACAGACCTTGAGCCAAACTTTCCCCATTTAGTCAGAGAGAGGATTAGCAGCATCCCCCATGCCTAGCTCTGCGTGAGATCATGGGAGCCAGTGGTTGGTGAGGTGCTATGGAGTATAAATTGCAAAATACTTTCAGTTCCACTCAGAATGGATTTCAGAGTGATTTCCACCCCACGGGGAGGAGAGGGAGTCTGGGGAGGGACGGATGGAGAAAATTTTTTTCTGTTATTTTCTGTGATCCACTCTGGAGACAGAGGCAGAGATTCTTTACAGCAGCTGCTCAAACTACAGCTCTTGTTAAAACGCAGGTTCTGAATCAGTAGGCCCTGGGTGGGGCCAGAGATTCTGTGTTTCAGACCAGCCCACAGGTGACGTGAATCTCACTGGTCCATACATCACACTTTCAGTTGGTAGGTGAGAAAGGGAGCACTCAATGAGTGGAAGAGAAAGTCATTGTAATCTTTGGGAGAAGGGGCCTGGGTCAATGGAGTTGGACTGGCCTGTGAGTGGAGAGAGTCGATGGGAAGGAAAGAAGATACTGTGAGGCTCTACAGAAAAATAAAATAAATAAAATAAAATGTAAATCAAGAAGACAGAAGAAGCTAAAGACGAAGTCATTTCCAGATCCAGAAGGCACAATTGACAGCTGAGTAATAACGTAACATTGACTGTTAATTGGCAGTATTTTAACTGTATGTTTAGTTTCTCCATGAGGTCACCTGTCCTCTATAATATGGCAAGTTAGACTAAAACCAGCGTTTCCCAGAGACAATGCTAGAAGCTTTAACAGTAGGTGGCACTCTTGCATTACATTAAGAGCTCAGCAAAGAAGACGCAGAAACCTCAGGCTTGCCTTGTCACAACAAACACACTAAATCTTCCTTAGATCTCCCTTTCACTGTCAGCGTACCCATATAGATTTCCCTTCTCCTTCCAGTACAGATATGCATCCTCTACAGATGGTGCATTTAGTTCTTCAAGTGCTTCACGGAGTCCTAGTGAGTGTAATGCAATAGGAGTGATTCAGATTTGTGCAAACTCCCACTGATGCCTGCTGTCTGCTTCCCTTGGCGTTCAAGACCACCACCAACCCTTCGATTATGTGTTCTAACTGAGCCACTCTGTACACAGTTCAGTTTGATAAGTGCATTGTTATTTGATAAGTCACTGTTATTTGTTCTTTTCTTCCCTATTTCAAGAGAAATCACATCAGTTTAATTACTCTCACACCAAGAACTCTTCAAATGAAACTCCTCTCATCTCTCATCAACCCATCTCCTCCCTTTCTTCCTCAATGTCAACATCCCTTCACATAAATCCTGAATGATGAGATTTTATTTAGAATTTACACTAACTTCCTCTCCAAGGTGACATCTAACTTCATATTAAGTAAGAAGCAGCCTTCCCACTCTCCACCCTCATACTTCTCACCCACCACTGCTTACTTTTTTTTTTTTGCCAAGTCTCAAGTAATTCTGTAACCTAGAAAAGGTCCTACACAAACCCTGTGATCAATCACATTTAAGGAGTTGGGTGGCCCACATCCTTCCCACAAACCCCAAAGTGCCCTCAAGGACTAAAGCCTTTCTCTGAACTTTTCCAGCATGATGCCCATGGTTGTAAAAATTGTCCAGGGTCAGTGCATCCTGGGAACAAAAAGCTTGCGGTGCCTGGGGCTTCCCCAATACTCCCAAAGCACATCCTCACCTGCCCATCTATGACTCACTTCCAGCATTTCACTCACGTGCCTTAAATGGTCATTGACCACCACAATCCAAAAACAACCATCAAATGTTCCCAGTTCTCCTTCTGATCTCTGAAAGAGCTTAGAGAGGTCACTGAGAATACAGGCCTTAGTTCACTATTGAAGTCATTTCTAAATCATTTGATATCCTTGGGAGTGCTGGCCATGGGAGCAGTAGTGATGGGGGAAGTTCTGTAATGGGAATTATTTGAATTTCAAAGATGTTACTCAATGTAATCCTACAACTAATGAAGTATAATAAAAGGGAGGCTATAATTTATTATCATTATTAGCAATCTTTCCACCATAGCAGACCAAAGAATAAGTGGATAGGGAGGGGAGGGCTGCAATGATGAGAGTCACAATTCAGGTTATAGAAAGGTAACTGGTGGGTGGATGGGTTGTCTGGTTTCCCCTGTCCTGGGATTTAAATTCACAGAACCATAGTACTAGAGAGACCCTTAGAACATTTAGTCAACCACTTCATTAATCAGATGAGGAAACTGAGGCTCATAATTGCGGTTTGTATAAGGCCACACATTTAGTCATCAGTGAAGCAAGGGCAAAGGTTCGAATCTCCAGATGCCTGGCATGTGTGCACAGTTCCAGAGCTTAATATCTAGTTCTTCAGGATCACTACTGATAAGATAGTATTTGGGTATTGGATAAAGAGAAATGAAGGTTTTTTTTTTTTCCTTTCCTCTTGTTTCTCCCTTCCTAATCCTTAACCTTCCTTTTTAGGTGCTGATTCCCTGAAGATTCAAGCTTATTTCAATGAGACTGCAGACCTGCCGTGCAAGTTTGCAAACTCTCAAAACCTAAGCCTAAGTGAGCTAGTAGTTTTTTGGCAGAACCAGGAAAACTTGGTTCTGAATGAGGTATACTTAGGAAAAGAGAAATTTGACAGCGTTCATTCCAAGTATATGGGCCGCACAAGTTTTGATCCAGACAGTTGGACCCTGAGACTTCACAACCTTCAGATCAAGGACAAGGGCTTATATCGATGTATCATTCATCACAAAAAACCCACAGGAATGATTCGCATCCACCAGATGAATTCCGACCTGTTAGTGCTTGGTATGTAATCAATGGTGTGTGTTCAGATTCTTTGCCTTCTCAGATGAGACTGCAAATGACTTAGAGAAACACTGGAGGGGTGGTTGAGGGGCCCAGGGGAAAAGGGGGGTCTATAGTGAGAAAGCAGAGAACAGCCATTTCTGGGAAGCCCATTTGAAGGGAGTCTGGGAGCAGGGAACTGAAAGTCTTTTGTACTTTTTATAGTCTGCTTCTGAAGGAACAGCAAAAATCTGCTTTGGGGAAAAAAATAGAGCTAATTGAACAAAGGTAATATGGCTAATTACCCATGGTAAAAACCATGGGTAATTAGAGGTTTTGGTTCACTATTGAAGTCATTTACTTCATGGTAAAAACCATGGTTAATTTGGCCATTACAAAGTATATATAACCATACTCAGATCTTTTACATTCATTTTTCCCTTGGGTCCGGGATTTTTTCACCTACTAAATCTTTGCCTGGAGGTCCTAGCAAAAGGGACAGCTGACACATTTGGATTTTCCCTTCAGCCTCCTCTAGGTTGCTTAGGAGTTGTATGCTGCCACAACCATGAGCCTGGTGGACAGAAAGGGAAAAACTCAACAAACATAACCCACAAACTTACAAACCCGCTCCTCTGCTTCAGCAGACCTCAGAAGGCCTAAATGTGACTACAGGCTTTTTTAAAACTATCACACAGTAAAATTAACTTTTTTTGTTTTGGTATACTGTTCTACTGATATTATAGATCATATATAGATTTAGCTAACAGCCACAGGACATACAGCATTTCTATCACCCTAAAAATTTCCCTCAGGCTATCCCTTTATAGAGTCATACTCTGTCTGCGCTCAACCCTTGCTGGGCATCCTATAGTTTTGTCTTTTTGACAATGTCACACACGTGGAGCCATAGAGTATGTAATCTTTCAAGACTGGCTTCTTTTTCTTAGCATGCCTTTGAGGTTCATCCAAGTTATTGCACATATCAAGCTTGTCCCTTTTTATTGCTGAGTAGTATTTTATTGTTTAACCATTCAACTCAGTGAAAGACATTGGGTTGTTTCTGGTTTGGAGCTATTATGAGTAGAGCTGCTGTAAACATTCATGTACAGGTTTTTGTGTGAATATAAGTTCTCATTTCTCTAGGGGAAATACCCAGGTGTAGTATTACTGGATCCAGGTTAATTTTTTTTTTCTTTCTTGAGACGGAGTTTCGCTCTTGTTACCCAGGCTGGAGTGCAATGGCTCCATCTCAGCTCACCGCAACCTCTGCCTCCTGGGTTCAGGCAATTCTCCTGCCTCAGCCTCCTGAGTAGCTGGGATTACAGGCACGCGCCACCATGCCCAGCTAATTTTTTTGTATTTTTAGTACAGACGGGGTTTTACCATGTTGACCAGGATGGTCTCAATCTCTTGACCTTGTGATCCACCCGCCTTGGCCTCCCAAAATGCTGGGATTACAGGCGTGAGCCACCACGCCCGGCCCAGGTTAATTTTTGATGAAACTTGAAAAGGCAGATCAACACTTATTCTAAAACCATAGAGTAAAACAGAAGCAAAAGTAGAAATAGAATGGAGAGCTGCTCCCTTTGAACCCTGTGTGATTCAAAGTAGGCTGCAAGGCTTTAGGAACAGTTAACCAAGTGTTAAATCCATGTTTGAAAAATGTGGTCAGGTACCATTGGAAATGTTTTAGGTGGGACACCAATAAGCATGTTGAAAGCCATGTCATATTTGTTTTAATGTATATTAGAAACTATAACTTAACCTGTGATATCACAGATGTAGTTAATAAAGCTAAATAAGATCTGGCAATTCACCTTCTATAGATCACATAAAGTCTAAGAAGAGTGCTCAAATACTACACTGATATAGCAAAACTTACAAAGATGACATGCAAATGACACACATTTTAGTAAGAATAACTAAATTATAAATTAGTTTGTAGAACCTGCAAACTACCTAGTAACTACAGAAGAGCAAGGGACTTTTTTCTAACAGAAGGCACACGACACAGGTCTAAGGGCTCCATGCCAGTGATCCTGAACATCCAGAAAAGTACAAATGGCAAACAAAGGCAAGAGAAACACTGTGTTTATCAAGATCGTGTATTTTTCCCTAAAATAGCTGGAGTTGGCCTTCATCTTAGAGTATGCTATGAAGACACTTCGATGCTCATGCCAAAAATCAGTGTTCTGAATTTCTAATTCCAAAATCCCCAACTATTCACTTACCACAGTCCTGCTTGGATTTCTGAAAGATATGACCCACGGCATGCCAGCATGAACTCTGTCGGTTCCTGGTGACAATTGAGCTCAATCCCTTTCTGCTCTCTTAATCTGGTCAGCTGGAATGTGCCCTATGGGACACCTGGGCCCTAGAGTCAGACCACTTTTCCTTCCAAAGACTCTACTCCCTGGAAATAGTGGCTTCGTTATAAATCTTTGGTGACTCAATTATGTCCCTCCTGTCACTTAGAGAGCACGCCCTTGATTTGGATAAGCAAGAAGTAAGCATGGCCCCAAACTCTATTGTTGAAAAATAATCATGAAGTCATTATGTGGCACTCACCTTGGGCTGAAGGCCACATTTTAGACACCCTGAGGCTCCCAGGTGTGCCCCAATGAGCCCCAGATGGAGTACCCAGTTATCTGCTATTCCCTCCAAGATATATCTAAACTTAGACTGATTTTTTAAAAAATCTCTCTTTTGCTTTCAGCTAACTTCAGTCAACCTGAAATAGTCCCAATTTCTAATATAACAGAAAATTTGTACATAAATTTGACCTGTTCATCTATACATGGTTACCCAGAACCTAAGAAGATGAGTTTTTTGCTAATAACCAAAAATTCAACTACCGAGTATGATGGTGTTATGCAGAAATCTCAAGATAATGTCACAGAACTGTACGATGTTTCCATCAGCCTGTCTGTTTCATTCCCTGATGTCACAAGCAATATGACCACCTTCTGCGTTCTGCAAACTGAGAAGACACGGCTTTTATCCCCACCCTTCTTTATAGGTAAAGCTGCTTTCCAAGACTATTTCTTTCAGCAGGTATTATACACAAATGCTTAAGGCAGATCATCTGATGTCCCTGCCTTTCTAGGAAACCTCCAACTGGGCCATTTTATGATGCTGTTAGGAAGGACCCAGATGGAGGGCTCCTGCTTCACTCTGAGTGATGCAGGGTCCAGGAGGCTACAAGCCTATGCTGGACTTGAAGAAATATGCTTTTAGCCCTAAAACTGACTCAGTCTCTTGGTTTACCTTTGATGGAGGATTCTGAGGTTTTGATTAAAAAATGCAGGATTCCTCTGGCTACAATTCTTTCTTTGATTAAAACACATACATGGGCTTGCATGTGTGCGCACGTGTGCGTGCACACACACACACGCCATGCATACATGCATACATACAAATGGTACTTATTGTGAGTATAGAACCATTTGGGACATTATTGGTTGCAGGAGTGAAAATGAAAAGATATAAGACATCCCCTCTGCCCTTGAGGATCTTTCAATAGAATCAGAACTCTGTAATGTACACATATGAAAAATTAGATTTTTAAAAGGTTGAATTTGAATCTAAATTTTATTCCATGCATATATGTGACTAAACTTAAAACAAAAGTAACCAATAATGAGTTTTATGGGCATTCAGAGGTAGGCAAGATCCCCGAGGGTCAGGGAAGGTTTCCTAAGGGAAGGGGCAACTTGTAACACATAAAGTAAATTATTAAGTTTAATAAATGTGGTGAGGAGAGGAGGACATTCTGGATGACAGATTCCCAAAACTGTGGTAACTTTATTAGCAGAAAAAATTTGAGAGAGTAGCTGGGCTCAGCAGGTGAGAGGACCACAATGGATCAGCTTGTATCTGACCTAAGTGCAAGAGGCATGTCAAAGAAAGCCTCAGAGGCAGAAGTGCTTGCAGCATGTGCTTCAGGGACCACTTCAGTGGAGGAAAGGACTGAAGCTAAACAGTAGCCACTAATAGGAGCCTGACATTTTAAAGTTGTGACTTTGCCCAGGAGGGCATGTGTCTATATTTGAGACTCCGCTTTTAAGGAGCTGTAAATGTAAGATTTCCTCCTAGAAGAAAGGTGGTCTGCACCTGTCCTGTCCCATCACTGCCTGTGCTGACATTGACCCCCCACATCTGCCTTCTTCTTGCCTTGACCCCTTCTCCAGCGATAACTCCTGGCTTACCCCCTCTAGTAACATCCATCCAACTCCTTGCTCCATCCCCTGGCCTCCTCTCTCCCAGTGCCTTGTTCAGATGTAACTTGATCTATGAACAGCCCATGGGGCCAGTCCCCATGAACCAACTTTACAACTGGGCCAATCTCATCTCCTGGTACTGACTTCCTTCCACTCAGACACTTCAGCCTCTGAGAGCCCAGTAAATGGTGGGACCACCTGTCCTGTCCCAGTTGCTTCTGTAGCTTTTCTTGGCCAGATAGAAGCCTCTCCAAGCTATGCCTGAAGTTTAGTACCTTCTTATGTGACATCCCCCAGGGCCCTCTGTTATGGCTCCTACAGTCTACATATTAACAGGGGCTTGCCACCACTTTAACCTCATTATGGCTCACCTTCCTGCTGCTTCTCAACTACTGTTCCACCAAAACTTCCGCAGGTACCACCATCTTCAGAAATGTTTCAGCTCTAGCTGCCTCGGGAAGATGGGGCTTGCCTCTCTGGGTTTCCCATTCTATCACTTAATCAGAGATAGGTTAGACCCTGAGTCAAGGGACTTTTTTGCATGTTAAAAGGTAGCAGCCTCCATATTAGTAAGTATAACCCCGCACCCGCTTTACTGGGAGTGACAAACCAGCTCAAGTGGCATAGACTGGGACAGACTCAAAAGAGATTAAATATGGCCTGCAATGTCAATGGCTCCTTAATGTCACAGAAACAGAGTGTGCGTCCACAAATTATAGCTAAGCTAACAGAACAGCTGGTTCTAGTTTTCCTGAAATTGGGGATTAGCTACCAGAGCTGTTCCTAAAAATGTCTTTAAAGTGGGTGACTCAGTTTTAAGTTTTTTCCCAAAAAGCCTGTTTTCCAACTCCCCAGAAACTTAGGAGTTCTCATGTAAGGAAGTAGGTCCTGACTTCTAGGCAGCTGATTCCCACCCTGATTCCTCAAGGCATGAAGAAACATCAAAGGTTTTTTAGTAGATGAGATATGCTGAAAGCCATGCAAAAAAAAAAAAAAAAAAAAAAAAAAAAAAAAAAAAAGACACCTGCTGTGACCCCAGTGGGAAAAAAACTAAACAAACAAGCGAACAAAATGTCCAAATGAGAGGTGTGTGGAGATGACAGTGGACAGAAGAATCATCACAAGAGGACTTCAGGGTCTGGGGACTAACTGCAGAGGGGGGCGGGGTAGCAGGCATGCCACGGATGACTGCACATGCAGAGCCTCAGCACAGACACCTCACCCAGATTCCAGAATCATGGGCCAGGTTGACCCTCTTCTTCCCTATCATGGTCGGTGTTATCCCCACCTCTAGGAAGGCATGGCAGCTCAGTCCAGGCATTTGGCTAGAGGCACGTGCTTGAATCTTAGGTTGCTGCTGAGGCCCTGAGTCTGGGACTTTCTATGGCCTCCTACTGTGGATTTCAGACTTCTCTGGCCTTAGAGTCCCAGGAGGATGCTGGCAAGTAAATAAAGAGAAGAGCAGCTAGCAGAAACCTTTTGTAAATGACTCTTCTGGCTGACTGAAAATTTGTGGTCATTTTTAGAGATTGAGAACCCTCAGCCTCCCCCAGACCATACCCCTTGGATTGCAGCTGTACTTCTCACAATAATTATATGTGTGATGATGGTATTCTGTCTAAATCTATGGAAACGGAAGAAGAAGAAGCAGCCTCGCAGATCTTATGAATGTGGTGAGTCAGTCCTTGTCCTCCCCAAAGACTGCCACTTTGCACCTACTTCCCAGTCGACTGCCTTTTGGAGCTTATTGGCTGAGCCTAGACTGGTAAAAATTCAATGTCGGAAGAAAAGGTTTTCCCTCAGAGTTTTGAGCCCATGCAGAGTAGCAGCAGCTGATAATGTTGCTCTTGGACTTCAAAGAAAGGCAACATTCTAACCTCAGGTTTACCAATGTACTTCTGGTTTCCAGAGAGAACTGATTATTACTTGCTCTACCTCACTTCATGAGGCTATTGTGACATATACATAAAGCAAAATGGTGAGGTTGCTCCTAAATGTTAAAGATTGTGGACCTGGTGGTGTTCCAGCAGTGATATTTGCTAAATGTCCACAAGGATCAGCTTCTCATCACTAAAAAATCTAGGTTTCATGTGAAATAAGTTAGATGGATTATTGACCATTGACCTATAACAAACAATATTAACTTTTACTAATTTCCAAGTAATACATATCCGTTATCAAATATACCAAAATAAAATCATCAATATTTTACTAGTAAGAAAAAATGATTGCACAAACATTTGTAGTGCCTATCTTTAAGATTTTTCTATTTACCAATCTATGTTGTTTTCCCTAATTAGGATTATCATAAGGGCTATTTTTCACAATTTGGATAATATATGTACTGTGTTCTAACTTTGTTATACTAAATGTAGCAAGACAATTTTCATTGTCATACATATCATTCTACAGCATCATTTTAAATGGCTGCAAGATATTCCATTATGTGGATACACCTTTATTTATTTGTTTATTTTTGGACACCTGAGCTGGTCCAATAGTTTTGTTATTATAAACACCCTCCCCACTGAATTCTGTTATAAAAATGTTTAATGGGGACAAAGTCTCCCCTAACTTTATAATAATGCCATGCCTATTTGTAGTTTGGGCTGGTTTTAAGATAAGACTGGACTTTATCTCAGTAATTGCCTCAAGCAGTAATTAGTTTGATTGGTGCTAATAACTAAGGTAATCTTCTTACTCACTTAAGGTAGAAAGCACAAGATGAGTATTGCCTCTGGCTGTATCTTGTTTTTCAGTATGCTGATTTTAAAATCTATCTAGAAGATAAATGGGTAACATTAGAAGTCATTCAATGTATCCTGCTGTACTTTAAAAATATGAAATTGGGGAGCAATTATCAAACTTAAATAAATTAATACAAAGCATGTAGCAGAGCCATTCAAACTGCCAATGCATGGAGTGTGCTGAGAGATTTCATGATATAAAAGCATACAATTCATACCACAGATATAAAGATATATTGTGCTTGTCTGGGCTTTGATTTTCAAGGTAAGAGTTTTGAGCTTCACTTTCTTTCGATCTCATTGCCATTTAGAATTAGTCAAATATGAAGAAGCAACTTACATCTTGGGAATAAGCTGTTTCCTAAATTTTCCTTCACATTGGAATGATCAGCTTACAAATGAAACAAAGAAGGGATAGAGAAAAAGAGTAAGGATGTTTCCTCCCCCATGAGGCAATCAGAAACAAGTCAGGAGACTAGATAGGGGAATTAAAAAGGATATGTGTATTCACATGAGAGAAGTTAGAAGGTGCTTAAATAAGCTGTGTGGGTGCAGATGAGATGGTCAGATTGGGCTGAGTGGTAAAAGGAAGAAGGCAAGACAGAATAGCACATATATGACCCCCAAGAATGTAATAAAGAATATTGATAAGAAAAAGTTATTTGTTCAGGTAGTCATCCATCCCAGTGAGTTTGATCAAAGAGAGAAACCTTGCTATCACTGGAAGGAGGGAAATACACCAGCCATAACTATGCCATTATAGATATGAGATATTTGTAAATTTGGATTCTGTAACTTCAGCAATACTTACCCTTGGTTGGTGGGCACTTCTGGCATTGGCTATGTAACAGGCAAAATAATGCACTCCATAAGATGTCCTCCTATACTCCAGAACCTTTAATATGTTATCTTACATGGCAAAATGAACTTCACATAGGTGATTAAGGCACCAAGTTTGAGATGGTGAGATTAGCCTGGATTATTCAGGTGCACACAATATAATCACATGAGTCAGAGAATCTTTCCCAGCTGGGATAGAGAAATGAACTGGAAGGAGAGATCTGAAGCTTGAGAGGCTCAATCCAGCATTGCTAGGTTTGCAGATAGAAGGAGGAGGCCATAAGCCAAGGAATGTAGGTAGCCTGTAGAAGCTACAAGTGGCTCTTAGTTGACAGCCAGCCATTAAAGAAATTAGGATCTCAGTTCTGCAACTACAAGGAACTGAAATCTGCCAAGAGACCGATGTGGAAACAGCAGATCCCTCCACAGAGACACAGCTTACTGATAACTGGTAGGAATTTCTACAAAAGTGGAGCTTCCTTCTAATCCAGTGTTAATCCCTTTCTCAGAAGAGACAGCCCTCAAACTAACTTGGCATCAAGAGTCCTGTCCAGTGTTTTCTCATTATACATTTTCTATGCTTCAACTGTACATATTTACCCAGGTTAGGCTGTTTAAATGAACAAAAGGGAAATGCCATAGCTATTCTAGTCAATTTCCAATCTCTTTTCTATTTTTTTGCTTTGTCAAATAGGACAGATAAGGCATGAGAATTTGTAGCTATGAATTACTGTCTTTTCCCAAACAGAAACCACCCTATTAGCTTACCCAGTGGGGAGAAAGACAAAAATAACTCCTGAAATTTTACTTCCTCATTTGGGTCTTATGTGACTGAAATCTGTATATAATAATGCCCTAGAAACAATGGCTTTTATGACTTGCCTCCCTAGAACAAACCTAGGAGTCTCAGCTCTTTCAGGAATGATTTCTTTTTTATTTTTCCTTTCATTTATTTTATTGCATTTTAGGTTTTGGTGTACATGTGAAGAACATGCAAGATTGTTGCATAGGTACACACGTGGCAGTGTGATTTGCTGCCTTCTTCCCCATCACCTACATCTGGCATCTCTCCCCTTGCTATCTCTCCCCAACTCCCCACCCTCTACCGTCCCTCCACTATTTCCCCCCAACTGACCCCAGTGTGTAGTGCTCCCCTGCAGGAATGATTTCTTAAAGGTAAAGTGTCTTTTTCAAAACAATTTATTTATTTATTTATTTATTTATTTATTTATTTTTGAGACAGAATGTCACTCTGTCACCAGGCCAGAGTGTAGTGACACAATCTTGGTTCACTGCAACCTCCGTGTCCCAGGTTCAAGCGATTCTCCTGCCTCAGCCAGCCAAGTAGCTAGGACTATAGGCACACGCCACCATGCTCAGCTAATTTATGTATTTTTAGTAAAGACGGGATTTCACCATGTTGGCCAGGATGGTCTCGAACTCTTGACCTCATGATCCATTTTTAACCAACATTTAAACAGAAATCTTTACAGGCTTGAAAACTGAAGGTTAGTGATGTCATCACATTTTCCCTTAAAAATGTGAAATTTGTAATCAAATTTAAAAGTTTAGAGTCTACCTTTTAATTGTTTGCTTTCATTTTTTTGATAGAGGCTTTTTAAAAATATGGTGACTACTTTGTCATGTGTATAAAAGGATAAGTTATTTTGTGTTAGTCTGAAGACATCTGAAATACTGTATTCAACTCTAAGTACCATTTTTTTACATTTATAATAAGATTCTTTTTCAAAATTTTTATTTCAGTAGTTTTGGGAACTATTGAACTAAACTAGGTGGTTTTTGGTTACATGGATAAGTTGTTTAGTGGTGATTTCTGAGATGTCGGTGTCACTCATCACCCATGTGTAGTCTTTTATCCCTCACCCTCTCCCACTCTTTTCTCTGAGTCCCCCAAGTCCATTATATTACTCTTATATCTTTGCATCCTCATAGCTTAGCTCTCACTTATAAGTGAAAACATACATTTGCTTTTCCATTTTTGAGTTACTTCACTTGCAATAATGGTCCCTGATTCCATCCAAGTTGCTACAAATGCCATTATTTTGTTTCTTTTTATGGCTGAGTAATATTTCATGGGGTATGTATACCTCATTTTATTTATTCACTCATTGGTTGATGGATATTTAGGTAGGTTCCATATATATGGAATTGCGAGTTGTGCTGCTATAAACATGCATGTGCCTGTGTCTTTTTCATATAATGACTTCTTTTCCTTTGGGTAGATATCTAGTAGTAGGATTGCTGAATCAAATAGTAGAGTTCTATTTTTAGTTCTTTAAGGAATCACCATACTGTTTTCCATAGTGGTTGTACTAGTTTACATTCCCACCGGCAGTGAAACATGTTCCCTTTTTACCACATTCATACCAACATCTATTATTTTTTGATTTTTTAATAATGACTATTCATGCAAGAATAAGGTGATATCTCATTATGGTTTTAATTTTCATTTCCCTGGTAGTTAGTAATATTGAACTTTTTTCATGTTTGTTGGCCATTTGTATATTTTCTTTTGAGAATTGTCTATTCATGCCCTTATATGCACCATTATTTTTAAGAAGAACCTTTACAAAAATAGAACATAACCAGATTTATAAAACATCTGGGAGCTCAGTCAAAGAAATAGCTCAAGTAACTGAGGATGATTCATCTGAAGGAAGGCCTGGAGAGGACAGAGATGCAAATATCTGAAGAGCAGCCACAAGATGCAAAGATTGAGCTTAATGGTATGACTCCGAAGGGCATCTCAATTAATAAAGGTTATGAGAGGGTGTATGGAATTAAGAGAGACTTTTCTAACAATTAAATGGTCTTTTAGCCTGGAAGTGGTGCCTCACACCTGTAATCCCAGCACTTTTGGAGGCCAAGGCGGGCGGATCACCTTAGGTCAGGAGTTCAAGACCAGCCTGGCCAACATAGTGAAACACTATCTCTGCTAAACATACAAAAATTAGCTGGACATGGTGGCGGGTTCCTGTAATCCCAGCTACTTGGGAGGCTGAGGCAGGAGAATCGCTTGAACCTGGGAAACAGAAGTTGCACTGAGCCGAGATCATATCACTGCACTTCAGCCTGGGTGACAGAGCAAGATTCCATCTTAAAAAAAAAAATAAATAAATAAATAAATAAATAAAAGTTCTTTTAAAATTGTATGGAAGAAATAGACTTCTGCTTCCTCCAACAAAAGATTAACTGCTATAGGAATTGCCCTCTTTCCATAAACAACTAGAAAGCCGACAAAATATATAAAACAACTGCTTTCAGAAATCAGATGACAGACAGCCGAAAACTGTAATCCCTGAGTGAAGGAAAAAAAAATGATATAAGCTCTATGATTGCTCCAATTTATTGCCTGGAGCCAGTGTGCAGGCTGCTCTGAAGGCAGGGGTACCCCTGATACTGAACTAGGAAAAGACATTGCAAGAAAAGCAAACTACAAACATCTCTTGTGAAATGCTTAACAAAATTAGCAACTAAAATCTAGCAATACGTTAAAAGTATAATACATCATGATCAAGTGAGGTTTATTCAAGAAACACAGGTAAGCTCAACATTCAAAAATCAGGCAATAACCTTTACTACATAAATAAACTAAAAAGAAAAAATATATGATCACGTCAATGGATACAGAAAAAGCTTTTGACAAAATTAATACCCAATTCATAGTTTTAAATGGAAAGAAAACTCTCATAAAAACAGGAATGCAAGACAACTTCTTCAACCTGACAAAGAACGTCTACCAAAAACTGTTCTGTTAACATAATATTTCATGATAAAGGACTGATTGCTTTTCCCCTAAGTTGGGGAGTGAGGGGAAGATACCCACTCTCCCTACCTTTTGTTCAACATTTTACCGGAGTTCATAGCCAGAGCAACAAGGTTAGAAAAACAAATAAAAGACATAGAGATTGGAAAGGAAGTAAACTGTCTTTTTTTTACAGATAATGATAATGCTTATAGAAAATCCTGAGGAATCTATCAAAAAGCTATTAAAATTGATAAGTGGTGTAACAAAGTCACAGGATACAAGGTCAATACACAAAATCAATCATTTTTATGTACTAACAACAAGCAATTGTACACTGAAAAAAAATTAATAGCATTTATAATATCAAATAATATTAAAAACTTGGAAATAAATTTAACAAAACAAGTATAGGACCTATATACTGAAAACTATACAATATTACTACTGAAGAAATTAATGTAAACCAAAATAAATGGAGACATAGGCCATGTTTATGAATCAGAAGACTAGATGTTGTTAAGATATCAATTCTCTCCAAGTTGATCTATGGAATAAATGTAATCACAATCAAAATCCTGGTAAACTCTTTAGCAGACATTAAAAATCTTACCCTAAAAGTTATATGGAAGTGCAAAGAACCTAGAATTGCCAAAACAATTCTGAAAAATATGAACAAAGGTGGACTTAACCTACTTAATTCCAATACTTACTATATAGTTATAGTAATTAAGACAGTGTGATATTAGTAAAAGGAAAGACATATCAATCAATGGAACAAAACAGAGAGCCAAAAATAGACTCCCAGCCGGGCGCGGTGGCCCACGCCTGTAATCCCAGCACTTTGGGAGGCCGAGGCGGGTGGATCACGAGGTCAAGAGATCAAGACCATCCTGGTCACCATGGTGAAACCCCGTCTCTACTAAAAATACAAAAAATTAGCTGGGCATGGTGACGCGTGCCTGTAATCCCAGCTACTCAGGAGGCTGAGGCAGGAGAATTGCCTGAACCCAGGAGGCGGAGATTGCGGTGAGCCGAGATGGCGCCATTGCACTCCAGCCTGGGTAACAAGAGCGACACTCTGTCTCAAAAAAAAAAAAAAAGATTCCCACTGTCAACTGATTTTGACAAAGGTGCCACGGTAATTCCATGCAGAAAGGATAGTCTTTTTGACAAATAGTGTTGGGACAATTAGATATCCATATGGAAAAAGTATGAACCTAGACACACACAAAGTAACTTACATATTAGGAACTAAAATGAAAAGACTTCTGAAAGAAAACATTGGAGAAAATCTTTGTGACCTTAGATTAGGCAAATCTTCTTAGATAAGACACAGAAAGCAAAAAACTTAACATAAAAAGATAAAATGGGCATCATCAATATTGAAAGCTTTTGTTCTTTGACTTTTTTTTAAAAAGGAAAAGTCAAGCCACAGACAGGGAGAAAATGTTTTCGAAATGTGTATCCCATAAACGACTTGTATCCAGAATATATAATTACATATTGCTACTCATTAGTAAGAAGACAATCCATTTAATAAAAGACAGGAAGCAAGAGACTTGAACAGATACTTAACAGAAGGCGATATACAAATGGCCAATGAGCACAGTTACAACATCATTAGTCATCAGGGAAGTACAAATTAAGACTATAATGAGAATTTCTATTTCTAGGATACCACTGCACACCCTCTAGAATGCCTAAAATTAAAAGGTCTGGTAAACATCAAGTGCTGGAGAGGATATGAAGCAACTGAAACTCTCATGTACCACTATACAACCCAGAAATCCTAGACATTTACCCAACAGAAATTTTAAAAATTTAAAAAATATATAAAGACTCATACACAAGTGTTCATAGCAACTTTCTTCATAATACCAACCCTAGCATCCTAAATTGTCATCAGTTTGTGAATGGATAAATAAATGATGGCATATTTATACAACAAAATACTGAAAAGCTGTAGAAAGCAGTGGACTACTGGTAATACACAAAAATGTAGATAAATTTCAAAAGCATTATATTAAGTGAAACAGTCCAGACACAAGAAAAATACACATTATATAATTTCATTTATATGAAATTTGAGAAAAAGTAAAACAATTGTAAGTAGATTCATGGCTATCTATGGGATGGGGGAAAAGAATCAGCTGAAAAGGGGTAGGAGTATTTTGGCTTATAGAAATGTTCTCTACCTTGACTGTGGTGGTGGTTACATGACTGTATATATTCATTAAAATCACCAAACTCTATACTGAAAATAATTGGGCTTTAATGTTTATTAATTATGCCTCCATAAAGGTGATTGTTTTTATCTTTTAGTTTTATTTTATTTCCATAGTTTTTGGGGAACAGGTGGTTTTGGTTTTTGGTTACCTGGATAAGTTTTTTAGTGGTGATTTCTGAGATTTTTATGTACCTATCACCCAAGCAGTGTCCACTGTACCCAATGTGTAATCTTTTATCCTTCATCCCCTTCTCACTCTCCTCCCCCGAGGACCCAAAATCCATTATATCATTCTTAAGACTTTGCAGCCTCATAACAGCTTATTATTTTTAAATACACACACACACATGTACACACACACACACACAGAACTTCCAATGACAGTAAGTGTTCAAGAAGACTCTTTTAGTAAAGACAGAATCACAAAACCATCAGAGGCATTGCCGAGAGGATTTTTGTGGTCTGTAAATACCTCCATGGACACCCAGGTTAGCAACCTGCTGGGCTTTAAGTGGGAAAATAGTAGCATCACAACAGACAGCCTAGAGAAATTTACGTCCCAAGTTGTGTCAGTAGCAAGTCCTTATCAATAGCAACTCAGGCTTTGTGAGGTCTAGCTGGCTAGAAGTTTCCCTCTTGGACTTGTCCCTGAATGTTGTGTAATATTCTTAGCACCATCTGGCTAATCCATTTAGGCATCAACATCTTCAAGACTTCCTTTCCTCCTTCTAAATCTTGCTTTCAGTAAAGTTTTAGAAATTCTTCCAACAACAAAATGATTGCTAAAACGAAATGTATTACCCTCCCAGTGGTAATTTTGGTTAGCCAGGGTAGAGCTATAAGTGAAAAATCTATTTCCAGTGTAAGAATGTAAGGCACAGTGAGCAAGGGAAGGCATACACTTTTTTAATGCAGGGAACTTCTTCCTAATCCTCCTGAAGTTGCATCATTTAAATAACTATCTCTTCCATATATAAAGTCTGGCATGTAGCAAGTGCTCAATAAATGCTTGTTGAAAGAATAATAAATAAAAGTCACCACAATTTCTCTCTGAGTCCCAGAACTTTGAAGCCTTTTCAAACTTTCCTTCTTTTGGTATCTATGGGGAATACATTTCTGAAGGTCGTTCTTGGTGTCTTTCAGAACCCATCAACATGGAGAGGGGAGAGAGTGAACAGACCCAGAAAAGGTAAATCCTGACCCTGCGGCATTGATGAGAGGCATAATCCCCAGAGTGTCTGTTACTTGAATAGGATTATGCCTAAGGCGTACTGAGACCTCAGCAAACCTGAAGTAATGGAGAGGGAGAGGAAAATAAGACTAGTTAATACTTAGAAGAAAATAACCTGTTAAAGGATGACAGGGTATCCAATGCATGATACCCAGAAAGCATGACAAGCTCTGTCATGGTCAAGTAATAGTCAATACAAAAGAGTTCTGAGGTGGTGAACATGAAATGCATCTTATCTGCCATGGTAGCCCCAGTACCTAGCACAGTACCTAGACTAGTATGCATCCTACATGTGTGGAATGAATAAATGAAGAAGTGGGGAGTGACAACATGTTTTCTTCAGCCTCAGCATCTTAGTATCTGCTATAGCTCTGTTTAGAGTGTTCTTCTGATACTTCTTTACTTCATTCTTCAGATTTTGCCTCAAGCAGCAGTTTTTTAAAAACCCTATCCCAAACTAGAAAATGTTCACTTGTTACAGTGTCAGGTGGATCCTGGGGCTTTTTCTTAACACCATATTATGCTTACATATTTGTGTAATTATCTTATTAAACTCTATAAACTAGAATAAACTAAATTCTATGGAGGGCAGAGACCATACCAGTTAAGCTCATCATTGTGCTGCTAGCACCTAGCATGGCGCCTGGTATATACTCAATAAATGCTTGTTGAAAGAATGAGTGATGCATGAAGAATACATAAAGTCTCATAGTGATCAGTCCTTTTACGACATGAAGCTATCAGATAGTCTGTATCTCTATCTCTTCTAAGAAATTAAACTCTCAAGAATATCAAGGCTTTGACTGCATAGCCATAGGATCAAAGCAAACCTCAGTCACAAGCGTGGTTGCAGAGACAGGGTCATAACTCCCAGGGTGCAGACACCACCAAGAGTGTCCAGTACTTATCCTGATATGCCAGCCACTGTGATTCTAGCAACATGACTAATAATTTCAGGCACACTTGGACAATGAGAAAGGGTGTTGAAATCCAACCTACCCTGTCAGACTCAATTTCAAAAATGGTCTTGAAGAGCCTGCAGAGGGCAGGCAGCAGAGAATCAGCAGAAGGAGTGGGCAGGGCCAGGCAGAAATAAAGGATAGTTATTGAAGCATAGATGACAGTGTAGTGCATGGTTCTTTTCTCTTGCCTTCTCCACCTTTCTCTTCAATAGTTTGTTTCTCCTCATTGCTATTCCAATGGCCACTCTATTCTGCCCTATCATTGAAATCTAGAAAAAGAAAGTAGCTCAACTGTGAAATCTCACCCAATCTTTTCTTCTATTTTTCCAGCGTAAAAATCCATGTACCTGAAAGATCTGATGAAGCCCAGCATGTTTTTAAAAGTTCCAAGACACCTTCATGCGACGAAAGTGATACATGTTTTTAATTAAAGAGTAAAGCCCATACAAGTTTTCATTTGTTACACAATTTCATTTACAAGTTTCTGGGCAACGTTTCTCATTTTTTCTGGAAAGCAAGAAGACATTACCATTAATAATAGGGGGACAGGGTCATAACCCCCAGGACTCCCTCTAAGTGGAATAGCCTCCCTGTAACTCCAGCTGTTCTCCATATGCCAAAAGCAGACTTTAATTCTTTCATTGCTTCTTTTCACTATGGAGCACTCTTATGAGCCAAGCCCAGCTTAATGATTCATGGCCTGGAAATAAAATTTAGGACCAACAAGTCCTCCAGATCAGATTATCCTCTTAATGTCATAGATTGTGGTTTTTAAAAAATAGAACTTCTGGAAAACTGCATTTTATCTGCGCAAAATTCTAAGCTGGTGCCTCACTGAATCTTGTATACCTGTGACTGAACAACTACCTTCTCAGTCTGGGTGGGAGTTAGGTATTTATGACCTTACAGTGCTAATACTTTGAAACATAAAGATCCATGTACTGTAATAGTGTGATTACTATGCTCTAGAGAAGTCTATCTCTGCTAAGGATTGTTGTCCCTCTGTCAGGGTCAGTAAGAAAAATGGTGGCCTAGGGTACAGGCAACAATGAGCAGACCAACCTAAATTTGGGGAAATTAGGAGAGGCAGAGATAGAACCTGGAGCCACTTTTTTCTGGGCAGTCACTAATGTTGAGGAAGCTTGCCTTGCCCAACAAGCCCTAGTGGAGAGCACTAAATAAACAGGAAAGTGCTGGATCTTGTGAACTCTGTTTCTCTGGAGGAATTGACTAGTGAGATGGCCTGGGGAAGCTCTGAAAGAATCAACAGAGATCACAATACTCAAAAGAGAAAAAAAGAGAGATCTTAATCCAAAGAAATGCATGAAATGTCTGGTCTGTCCAGTCCATCAACAAATCTTGAAACAAGCAACAGATATACGGTCTGTCCAAATGGACTTAAGACAGACAGCAGTTTCCCTGGTGGTCAGGGAGAGGTTTTGGTGATACCCAAGTTATTGGGATGTCATCTTCCTGGAAGCAGAGATGGGGAGGGAGAGCCATTGTCTTGATAATGGGATGAGTGGAAGGAGGCTTAGGTCTCTCCACTCCTGGCTGAGAGAGAAAAAGCTGCAATGGAATTAGGAAGACCAAGATGCAGATCATGTAGGGGCTTCCTTAATGTACAGATGTCCTACAGGAATCTGGGCTGGCCCAGAGTAGCAAATTTCAGTTGGATGATTGTTTTTGCTGAAGGCAACCAGAGGAAAACTGCGTACAGAGATGGATATACTGGGAGAAATGACTTTGGAAACCTGGCTCAAAAGTAGGATTAGTAAGGGATGGAGCAGTCTCTGTCCAAACCTAAAGAGAACTCTGGGGGGCCTAAGCCACAAAAATAGTTCCTTTATTTTACTTGAACAACCCCCAAGGGTTATAGACTGCTATGCTAGACAAGCTTGTCCATGTAGTATTCCCATATGTGTACCGTGCCCCTGCCTTCATTAGATTCCTAGCACCTGGCCAGTTTCTAACATGTTTTGTGCAGCACAATTTTTAATAAATGCTTATTACATTCATTTAAAAGTCTACATTTTCTACTTTGGCTTCCAGAGTACTACTCAACCCTTGTGGTGTGATGTTCCCTGCTCTGTCCTCTGAATGTACTTCCTTTCTCTTGACATCTCTATAGCTAGAAGCCTCTGACGCATCCTACATCTTCTCCTCCTCTCCTTCCCGTGCCATTATTTGAGAAAAAAGGTTTGTATAATTTGTATACTTCTATATGTTTATCTCAGTAATGAGTTATAAAAAATCAAGTAAGAATGGTTGCTTTCAAGGACAACTAAGAAATCTTGAATAAGAAGGGAAGTTTACTTTTGAATTTGTAACCCGTGCTGTGTAATTTAAAAATTTTTAAATATGTGTATTAAAAGCTTAATGTAAAAATATTCCTTGAAAACACCATGAATTTAAAATAAATGCATATATATATATACAGCATGTGAGAAAAGCCAGGAAAACTCTGGACAAAAGAAAATGACCTAGATTTTCTGAAGGCAGGAATGTGTTTAATTTCTTACTGATGGATCCCAAGTACCTAAGATAGTTGTCTATCCTGTTGTGATGAATTTTTGCCTTTTGTTCTATTTCTTAAAGATTTCCTCAACTTTATCTAACTTCTGCATATTTTTATTTGTGCTATCATTTATTATTTCCAGAATTCCTTTTTGTTCTCTCAAAACATATCTGTTTAAAGATTGAATGACTTATTAACATGCCCTTTGGTAAGAACATCCCTCCTTTGTATATCAAATTCTCTGAACTGCTGTATTCTAAGACCAGGGGAAAGAAAAAAAAAAGGTCGAAAGAGATCATTAGGCAGAATAGTACTAGCTAACATTATTTCACGTTTACCATGTACCAGTTGTTCATCTAAACCTTTAAATTCATTATATTATCACATTAACCCTGTGTTGTAGGTAATGGAATATTATGCCCATTATGCTGATGAGAAAAATCTAAGCACAAAGATGAGTCAGAGTAATTTACCCAACATTGTTAACTTTGTAAGTGGCAGAGCTGGGGAGAATTTTGCAAAGCATCATCTCCTTCACCCTTTTATTTGCTAGCCTTTCTGATTATCGAAGAGACAGAATTTGAGTTGCTTGCAGTTCAAGTGCACTGCACTCTCTCAGCCCCACTGCACTGGTGACTCTAGTGGACCCATCACTGAAATTTCCACAAGTAATTCCAATCTTATGTGGCCAGGTACTAATAGATAACAAGATACATAAGAAGAAAAGTGAAAATGAGATTTGGGTCAAAGGGAAGTCAGTTGTGTTTATTGCTCCCAACTCCTTTCCTTCAGCCCTGCTACTTATTAGTCTTTTGCAATGCCCCCTCCTTCCTTTGCTATTCTGAAGCTAGTGTCATTTAGCTGATGTCCTTATATTTGTTAGCTGATATGGTTTGGCTATGTTCTCACCCAAATCTCATCTTGAATTGTAGTTTCCACAATCCCCATATGTCATGGGAGGAACCCAGTGGGAGGTAATTGAGTTATGAGAGTGGTTAACCTCATGCTGTTCTCATGATAGTGAGTTTTCATGAGATGTGATGGTTTTATAAGGGGCTTTTACCCCTTTTCCTTGGCACTTCTCCTTCCTACCATCATGTGAAGAAGAATGTGTTTGCTTCCCCTTCTGTCATGTTTCCTGAGACCTTCACAGCCCTGCTAAACTGTGAGTCAGTTAAACCTCCTTCCTTTATAAATTACCCTTTACTTCCTTTATAAATAGTCTTGGGTATGTCTTTATTAGCAGCGTAAGAAGAAACTAATACAGTAAATTGGTACTGAGTAATGGGGTGCTGCTGTAAGGATACTCAAAAATGTGGAAGCAACTTTGGTACTCGGTAACAGGCAGAGGTTGGAACAGTTTGGAAAGCTCAGAAGGCAGGAAGATGTGGGAAAGTTTTGAATTTCCTAGACTTGTTGAATGGCTTTGACCAAAATGCTGATAGTGATATGGACAATGACATAACAGGCTGAGGTGGTCTCAGGCAGAGAAGAGGAACTTGTTGGGAACTGGAATGAAGGTGACTCTTGTTATGTTTTAGCAGAGACTGGTGGCATTTTGCCCTGGTCCTAGAGATTTGTGGAACTTTGAACTTGAGAAACATGATTTAGGGTAGGTACCTGGTGGAATAAATTTCTAAGCAGCAAAGCATTCAAGATGTCACTTTGGTGCTGTTAAAAGCATTCAGTTTTATGTATTCACAAAAATATGGTTTGGAATTGGAACTTATGTTTAAAAGGGAAGCAGAGCATGAAAGTTTGGAAAATTTGCAGCATGACGACTTGATTAAAGATAAAACATTTTCTGAGGAGAAATTTAAGTCAGCTGCAGAAATTTGCATAAGTAACAAGGAGCCAAATGTAATTGCCAAGACAATGGGAAAATGTCTCCAGGATATGTCAGAGGTCTTCACAGAGGCTCCTCTCATCACAGGCCCAGAGGCTCTAGGAGGGAAAAATGGCTTTCTGGGCCAGGCTGCTTTGTGCACTTTTGGGACTTGGTGCCCTGTATCATAGCCGTGGCTAAAAGAGGCCAAGGTATGGTTCAGGCCATGGCTTCAAAGAGTGCAAGCCCCAAGCTTTGGCAGCTTCCACATGGTGAGCATGCAGATGCACAGAAGTCAAGAATTGAGTTTTGGGAACCTCCCATAGATTTCAGAGGATGTATGGGAACACCTGGATGCGCAGGCAGAAGTTTGCTGCAGGGGCAGAACCCTCATGGAGAACCCCTGAAACGGCACTGCAGAAGGGAAATGTGGGGCTGGAGCCCCCACACAGAGTCCTCGCTGGGGCACTGCCAACTGGAGCTATGAGAAGAGGGCCACAATTCTCCAGACCCCAGAATTGTAGGTCCACTGACAACTTGAACCATGCATCTGGAAAAGTCACAGATACTCAACGCCAACCTGTGAAGGAAGCCAGGAGGGGTGCTGTACCCTGCAAAGCCACAGGGGCAGAGTTGTCCAAAGCTACAGGAGCCTACCTCTTCCATCAGTGTGACCTGGATATGAGACACAGAGTCAAAGAGATCATTTTGGAGCTTTAAGATTCTACTGCTCCACTGGATTTTGAACTTGCATGAGGCCTATTGCCCCTTCATTTTGGCGAATTTCTCTTATTTGGAATGGGTGTATTTACCCAATGCCTGTACCCCCATTGTATCTAGGAAGTAACTAACTTGCTTTTGATTTTACAGGCTCATGGGCAGAAGATACTTGCTTTGTCTCAGATGAGACTTTGGACTTGGACTTTTGGGTTAAAGCTGGAATGAGTTAAGACTTTGGAGGACTGTTGGAAAGGTATGATTGTGTTTCAAAATGTAAGGACATGAGATTTGGGAGGAGCTGGGGTAAAATTATATGGTTTGGCTGTGTCCCCATCCAAATCTCATCTCGAATTGTAGTTCCCATAATCTTCACATGTTGTGGGAGGGACCCCGTGAGACATAATTGAATCATGGGGGCGGTAACCCTCATGCTGTGCTTCTCATGATAGTGAGTGAGTTCTCATGGGATATGATGGTTTTATAAGGGGCTTTTCCCCCTTTTGCTTGGCACTTCTCCTTCCTGCCATTCTGTGAAGGAGGGTGTGTTGCTTCCCCTTCAACCATGATTTTAAGTTTCCTGAGGACTCCTCAGCCCTGCTGAACTGTGAGTCAATTATACCTCCTTCCTTTATAAATTAGCCAGTCTTGGATGTGTCTTTCTTAGCAGCATGAGAAGGAACTAATACATTAACCTAGGCTCGAAAGCAAAAAGCCATCTCTGATGACTGCATTCAACCTTTCCCTAGCACTCACTGCTCACCCCTGCCCTCTTGCCTCATTCTGTTATCAGTCATCACCAGGCTAGACAAGCATTCCTCCCACTTTCACACCCACCTCTTCTTTTCTCATTCAGGACCTTATTTATTCATTCCAAGAACATGATAGTCACCTCCCAACAGATTTCAGTCTCCTGTCTCTTTTACCCTGCATTCTGTCCAACACACCAAGAGAAACAAGAAGGTAAACAGAAAAGATCTCCCTCACATTCCCTTTCCCTAGCCACACAACTCTGATCTCCAGCTTCCTGGGTATTCACTCATAGACACACTATGCCTATATATAAGTGTGTACACACACACACACACACACACACACACTCCCCTTATTCAGGCATATTTCATTTTAATTTACACCACAGTCTAAAGAAATCAAAAGACTCTTGCTAGGATGATTGACATCAGTCTTCAGTGTAATCCTTAATTTTAAGCAAGTTAAAAACATACACCTGTATGTATCAGTTTTCATTCTCATCAATAGTCTAGCATCATTGTGGATCTTATAATAAAAGTGAGATTCCATTGGATTTTACTATGTCACCTATTCACTTCAGAAGAAAAGATACTTACAAATACAGAATCCTTCACTGTCCTTAGGCACAAAGTTTCAAGCCTGCTTCAATCTGAACAAGTTACACCCTAGGTCTGGTGAGCAACAGTTACTCTGGAGGGATCTCCCAATTCCTATGTCCATATAGTTGTCTTTCTTGATTAGCCTCCTCAAGTGGTGGTGCATATCCTTCAGTAGCTTTCTCCAGTAACTTTCTGAGAAAGGACCTGTGGGAAATATACTTAAGAGTCTATTACAAATGGAAGAAATTTGGAAAGCAATGAGGAGAACCTTTCCATTGTATGTGGCAGATGAGGGCAGAAAAGAGAATAATTCACCCAACACCAGAGAGCCACGACCAGAACTCAGGCTCCTGATTTTCAGTCCAGAGTTCTTTCCACCCTACTGTGCCCCTCTAACCTTCCTGTTAACTGGAAGAGCTGGAAAATGAGTGTTAACAGAGCATAATGAAGCAAGATTGTGGACTTCAGGTCAGATAGTCCTGACACCACTATACTTGACTGTGTGACCTTAGGCTAATTACTTAATCTCTCTGATTGTCAGTTTTCTTATTTGCAAAATAGGGTTAATAATATCTACCTACCTTACAGGATCAAGGGCAATCCAAA